ATTATTATTATTATTATTATTATTATTATTATTATTAATATTATTAATTTATTATTATTATTAATTGTTTTCTTATTGTAATTATTATTATAATTACTATTATTATTGATATTATGTTTATTATTATCATCATCATCATCATCATCATCATCATCATTACTATGATTACTATGATTATTATTATGATATTTATTATTATCATGACCATTATTATTCTTATTACTATTATATTATGGTTGTTGTTATTGTTATTAGTATTTTTTTTATTATTATTTTACACGGAATAATTACAATAAGAATTATAGAAATAAATATTATAATTATAATTATAATTATAATTATAGAAATAATTATAACTAAAAATATAATTACAATAATAATTATAGTTTTTTTTGTTTACTCTAGGAGACGTCTGGGGGAGGGGGTCTAGGGGGGGCCCTGAAATAAACTAGGTTGAAACTCACTCATTGAGTTTCGAACCCGAGACCTGCTATAAGGGAGAGTGAGTCGACGACCAGCTGAGCTGGACCGCTTCCACTAATTATAGCTATATTTATAACTAGCGTAATACGTATAATAATAATTATACCTATTATAATTATTATAATTATAATTATAATTTTTTATAATTATAATTATAATTATAATTATATTTAAATTATATATGTGTAATTACATTTCTAATTATTCTAATAAAAATAAAAATTATAATTATAATTTTAGAAATATTTAAATCAGACCAGATCAGAAGGATTCAGATCAGATCCGAAGGATTCAGATCAGATCAGGAACATTTAGATCAGATCAGGAACATTCAGATCAGATCAGGAACATTCAGATCAGATCAGATCAGGAACATTGAGATCAGATCAGGGACATTCAGATCAGATCAGATCAGAAACATTCAGATCAGATCAGAACTTAAAAAATTCAGATCAGAAAGATTCAGATCAGATGAAGAGAACAGCTTCTTACTAACTTACATGTAATTTTATCAATTTGGTAATTTGGCCCCACTTCTCGTATAGTACTCCATGACTCGAACATTTTATTATTTGTTGCATTCGAATACCTTTCTTTATACAAAAGCAGGAGAATTGAGGCCATTTTTCGCCCCAAACACTTGCTCCATTGGCGGGTCGGGTCATGCTAAATGGCTTGGTTGTCTTTTTTGCTCCACAAAATCCTTTTTTTTGGGGCTCTTAGAGGTGGGCGCGGTCTGGTTTGGTCCAAAATTTGGCCGAACCTTTACCCGTACCGTGACTATTCAAACGGTTCATTTTGGTTTAAGACCTAAACCCGTTCGGTACGGTTCGATTTTGAAACGGGACGGTATCATGTCATACCAATACCAAACAATGTCACTTCCTCCAAAAATGCACACAATTTATCAATTTTCATACTCATTCCATCCCAAATTGACATACAATGTCAATATTTTTTGTCATACCAATGTTAAAGTTAAATTCTCTGGTACCGGACCAAAAAGCGGGGTTTGAAACGGATCTCAATTTTTTTGTCCCGAACCGAAACCGTGCCGATTTTACACAATGCTATGATGGGTTCGCAATTGTATAGGTATAGGCTGTGAGTTTCAGCCTAGCTTACTCCAGGCTCCCCCCAGCCCCTTCCCCAGGACGCCCCTGGAGTAAAAAACAAAACTCTTCCCTGGTATTTTTCATATGCTATAATACATATCATTTCTCTCCCTTTTTTGTGAAGTGCAGCATAGATGAATTGCAAGTGGACTGTAATAATGTCAAATCAAGGTACACTATCTGGGTACGAACATGAATTGCAAGTGGACTGTAATAATGTCAAATCAAGGTACACTATCTGGGTACGAACATTTAAACACACGATTGTTATTAACTTAAGAGGTGCACTTAAGTAGCACGGAAACGGGAAACGGAAAACGCGAGAAACGTAATTTCTAAAAAATATAGGACACGAAACGTGGGGGAAACGCGTAAATATTATAAAATATAAGGATATATTTATAAATAATTTTTAGTATATGTACACAAGTTTTTCCATATGCACATGTTTTCTTAATATAATTTGTTTAGTAAATTAGTAACCAAATAATAAAATCACTCTACATGTTCGAATTTAGATACTCCCTCCGTCCCAGGGAGAAGTTCCCACTTTCCTTTTTTGGTAGTCCCAACAAAAAGTTCTCATTTCCCTAAATGGAAAGTTATCCTACATCAAAACAGTGTCAAACAGTGCAAAACAGTGCAAAACAGTGCCAAACAGTGTCGAAACAGTGCCAAACAGTAAAATTTACCCCTCAGTAACTTTATTTCCTAAATATGTGTGAAAGTCAACCCGGGAACTTCTCCCTGGGACGGAGGGAGTATTATTTCATATTAGTACATAATGAAACATAAACTGTACGGAGTAATACATTTCTAGCAATACATTGCGTTACGAAATATAACAAGTGTTGCCGCTAAGAAATACCACAAAAATTCACGATAAAAAATTATTTTCCACCACAGAATCTTTTGAAAAAGAAAAAAAAAAATTGGAATCCGAGGTTTCCGAAACATAGTGAAACGGGTTTCCAAATTTTTCTTAATTACGGAAACGGCCCCAAAACGGGAATTTGAAGTTTCCGAGTTTCCGAAACGCTTCCGAGTTTTTGAAACGTGGAAATGTGAGCCATGAAGAATTGCCGTGCTTCCTAAACTAGAGCTGCACTAATCCAAATTAAGGTAACTTTAGGAGCAGTTAATTATTTGTTGGTTTATTGCAGCACTTTATTCACTTTGGTATCTCAATTTAAGTAGAACAGTCCTGGAGGATGCCCGCTGTGAGAAAATTTCAAGTACGTTGAATAATGATAGAGAATTTGCTGCAGCTTAGACATATTTTGTCCTATGAATGCCTTCAATCAGCTAATATTTTGTATGTGGATGGAGACAAATTTTGCATTAAAAGATATTCTTACATTAATACATTTTTTATTTTTTTTTGTTACAATATACTCCGTACTTCATACTACCTCCGTAACATTGGGATGTTCCCATTTGAAAAGTAGGTAGATTAAGAATAGTGAAAATAGATACGGAGTATGTATTATTAGGGGTATGATGGGAAGATAGTGAAATAATGTGATGGAATGAAGGATAAATCCAAAAAAAGTAGGTGTAATAGTGTATTATTTTTAAAATTATTGAGGGTATGATGGGAAGATTTAGAAATGGGAAGATATTAGTGTTACGTCCAAAAAAGGAAAGTGGGAAGATATTTAGGTTTCGGAGGTAGTATTAATTTGTGATAAAAACTTTACTACGTTATATGTATCTCAAAATAGAAACAAAAGTAAAATAGAGAAGAGTTTTACTTCAAAAAACTTTTTTCAATGGTTCCATGACCTTTTACGTAGTATAGATGTTTAATTTTCAATAGAGATATTCTTATAAATGGGTCAAATCATCAAAAGCGAAGTAGAAACTAGGAATAAAAGCCTTTTAGTCACTACTAGAGAATGTTGTTTAGAAACTACAAATAAAGCCTTTTAGTCACCACAGGTTGTGTAACGAGATAAAAGGGTAAGATGATTGAAACTAATCAAGTTACCTAATACTATATTAAAGTAAAATCAATGTAATTAAGAATGAAACTTTTATAATTGAACCCAATATAATTGATTAACAAATAACTATACTTTTACCTGTCAAAGTACAAGTATATTAACGTGTTCCAACTTCAATTGAAATTCATGATCATTTAATGCTATTATTTGTGTATATTGAAATTCTTCAGGTTTACATAATGCTGGGTAGCAATCAATTAGTCATTGTGTGATGATCATATTGCTGAAGTTCGCAACAATTGAAATAGCTGGAATATTTTTGTGATGATTACTTGTAAAGTATAGCCTTATCTGGATGATTTTATTCTGGTAGTTCAGCACCATGTTGTTCGTATTGTTTTTTCCTTGTTTAGAAAATAGAATTGAGGTTTTAGTGTGCTGTTGGTGTACAAGTACCAACTTCTACACTTTTGTATAATTATGCCAGTATATATTGTAAAAAAGAGCTACCTACTTGGGGCACTTCCTATGATTCTGTTGGGTTGTATACTTGAGTTGGGAAAACGGCTGTAATGTTAAATCGCTGCAATGTGATTGTTTTATTGATCTTTGTAATTTTCATATAAAAATAATATTATTATATTAGTAAGCAAAAAAGAAAAGAAGATGCTGCTGCGGTTGTTTAGTGTGAGTGACCGTAGCAAATACGAGTACTATTATTCATTATTTAAAGTAAACACAGTTGCTGCGGTTTGTACACAAGGTGTACACACAAAATCGGTCACAGACAATTGGCACGGAGTTGCATGTGACCACAGACAAGAGTTGTCTGTGTACACAGACAAATTTTGTCTGTCTCCACAGACATTTACTTTTTTGTAAAAAGTATTTGTTAGTGTCAGGCGGCTCTCAGCATATTTTTTACAAAAAAGTAAATGTCGATCTGTGAAGATAGACAAAATTGTCTGTGTACACAGACAACTCTTGTCTGTGGTCACAGGCAACTCCGTACCAATTGTCTGTGACCGACATTGTGTGTACAAGTTGTGTACAACTTGTGTACCCCTAGTATTTTCTGCGGTTTGTAACCACCTCAATTGTGAATTGGCACTTATTGCTCCGCCGGCATTTGCTTCGGTCAAAATACGTAGCAAATATATTAAATCAACCGCAGCATTTAATGAATATTCTAATAGTGTTCTTTAGTTTCTTCCTCCTATGACATTTCCAAACTAATTTTAAATGGAAACACAACAGAGATTGTGTAGTTTAGAAACCAGTAAGTATCTACAAAATCTAAATTTCAAACTGTACCTTGTTTAAAGGGTCGTTGACACTATGGGAATACCATCTAGGCCGGTTTCCGTCACACAATGAAGACAATGTGACTGTAACAAACTTCACTCAAAACTCTATTGGTGAGGGCAGCAAGCTTGATGCCCTTTAGTGGGAGGGTGAAGATAACAACAATGAAGGACCTAATGAGTGAAACTGAGGTACTCCTTGGTCTTTATTTGCAAGAACATAGATTTATCCTAACGTTATTTAACTAATTTTTATGTTATATATAAATATTTAGAACCGGATTTATTGACTGCTAGGAGAAATTGTATTCATCAAAAACTTTAGGGATTGGTGTTACTTGAGCTGTAACAGATGTAACAGAAAGTTGCTACAAGATGAAGAAAGGTTTAAGTGTGCAACATGCAACATTACCCTTGTCGAGGGAGTGTATAGGTCATCTTCTAAACATGCTTATTTACTATTTCAAACTACTATTTATATGCATATACAAATATTGATTCAAGTTATGGATTATCTAAAAACATCTATCTAGGTACAATGTCACTGTCTGCATCATGGATGACACTGGTCATGGGACCTTTGTTTTGTGGGACAAACAATGAATAGATGCTCTTGAAAAAACTTCATCAACCTTAAGAAGAGAGGTGGAAAAGATATTAAATATGTAGGCTTGATGATTATAGATTACTATGAATAGTTGAAACTCATAGTTTGAAGTAATCACATGATACTATATTTGCAAGGGTAATTAACTTTGAATAATTACAGAAAATGGGAGACCCAAACAGATTCCCTGAGGACATTGAAAGCTTGGTAGACCAAAGGGAATTGTTTAAAATTCATCTCAAGAAAAGGGCTGAAGAAAGTTTCTATAGAGGCACACTATCGTTGGGAGTGGTATGTATGATTTGAGACCCATCAATTCTAGCTATCTATGCAGCCAAGGAGAAGGAACATCTTACAAAAGATTATCAAGACCTAGAGAGGGTGTAAAATATTACTATTTTCAGCTTTGATATTACAGGGAAAATGGGTTAACATTAATAATTATTTCTCTACCACTAATATCTCAGAGTGGTTCTTCTGGAACGGAGTGTGATAATTCTACAGCAAGAAAGGGAAAAGGAGTTGTTGTTCAAGTCAAGGTAGACACAAATGTATCAATACCAATGAAATTAAACCTTTAACTAAAAGGCAGTAAATAGTTTTTATCTAATGCCATTTATGTTTGTTATACTAGGATGTGGGACCAATCGAGGTGATAGATTCCCCACTGCCAAGTACACAAAGAGATGTTGTTCTAGAACAAACGACCAAATTAAGAGGAACCTGATCGACGAGTTTTCTGCCATTGGAGTTGGAAAAATGCTAAAGATAAAAATCAAAGAAGAGCCACTTTGATTCAGTTGATGACTTTGATTCTTTAAGACAATTTGTTTGAATGCTATGTTTTGTCTCTTTATCTTTTCGGTCCACAAACTACTAAGTGGCTAAATGATGTGCACTTTGTCGTGATGTGTACTCAAAATAATAATCAATACAACAAATATACATAGTATATTGAAGTAAGTTTCGTATCCACAGAAAAAAAGAATACTTCTCTTTTGATATAATTAGTAATAAGTAACAAGGGTTTTTTTTAGATTGTTTGGTGAACTTAAATTATATTTAAACACTAAGATGAACGACTTATGTGGTTTACTTAATAGAGATGAAGACTTGGCTTTGCTTTTATCCACTTAATGAAATGTTCATCGATCCCGGTTATATCTTTAACTATCTTCCTCTCGAATACTCAATCGAGAAGTATATCCAGTTCATCGAGGGTAGTTATAACGAGACGTGTTCATTAATAAAACTTACTATTGAGTTAATATAGAACACGCGCGATATATTACCCCGATAGTAGCAATAAAATCAAGATGAAAATGATTGAGATTGATAACCTCAACACAAGCGGTTTATCGGTTTAATCAATATAATTAATTCCCCTTAGGTTATTAAACATGAGACGCATGCATTAATAACCCAAGTTTACTACCGTGAAAGAACCGAACGATTAACAAGCGTATTCGTCGATTGATTCTAGTAACAATTAATATATGAAACAAAACTAGTTGATCCTTTAAGTAATGTTCAATATATTAATATGAAATATGAATAGGAATTAATTAATATTCAAGGAAGAAGATTAAAGAAAGTATATGTTACTATAACTAATGTTGAGATGTTAACTAATTGTCATTTTAGCAACACTCCCCAACATTAATATAGAGATAGATTAATTAATATTCAAGGAAGAAGATTAAAGAAAATAAATCACAACTTACAATTCATTAAGCTTCAAAGTAGCAAAACCAAGATGGAAGAGTTTAGCTCCTCATTTGGAGACTAAACATAATGAAAATATAAAGAAAGAACTTATCTAGACTGAGCTTAGAAGTGTATAGGAATTCGGGACGGCAGCTCGTGTACCCGATCAGGTATATATAGGGTACCCGATCCGAGGCATACTCGATCGATTTCAGAGTAAAAACTATAGGCATACTCGATCGGGTATGACAACTGATCATGGCCAAATTTTTTCATGCACGTCCCTTTGTTTCCTGAACTGATCTGATTGAAAATCCAATTGGTACCCGATCGGGTAAAGGGTATACCCGACCGGGTACAGGTCAAAATCAGGAACTTTTCTTCTTTTTTGTCTTGTACTCTTACACCTTGCCTCACCAATGATCATTTGATTGATCATGGACCTGTTTTAGTTCAGCGTAGACCTAATCTAAACATATTACAACTTTTTTTACAAACATAACTATTACACCAAAAGTGTGTAATTTCCAAAGTATCAAACAACAAAAACTAACTAAAAACATACACATACATATGGAAATTACAAGCGTATCACTAAACGCTATGATCACTTTGATTCTCTTTTCTTAATCCTAATTGAAGAAATAATTTGAAAATAAAACAGCGAGTACAAATTTGAAATTCAATAGACAAACATCAAAAAGACGGCTATGGCGCAAATACATTTTGCGCTTTTAACCCAACTCAATCTGAAGAAACTTATTCAATGGTTACTCGTTTCTGGATGACCATTTTCTAAAAAGTCGTTTCAGTTGAGCCAGGTATGATAGAGAGACCCCAAAAATGGATAAATGAATTTTCGTTGGAACACATACAAAATCTGCTACTTGAAAAAGAAAAGGGATGTAAATAAAAAAAAGAGAAAAGAAGAAGAAAAAATCACTTCGAAATGGCATATACATCACGTATCTTGGATCAAGTAAAAACTCTGGGTTTTCAACAAGCGACTATTGTATCCATTTCAATGGATTAACCCTATGTGCTACTCGACGTGTGACGTGTTTTGGGCATTTATAAATTCTCTACTTAATTTTTGTTATGTTCCTATATTCTATGTCTGTGCAGGTCATGGTATTTGAGAACACAGAAGTGGTTTTTGAAAAACAAATACAGGGAAGGAAAGCTTGACACTTCTTAACTTGCACTATTTGCCTACATGGGATGGATAAGCTAAAAAATAATATTTTGGTTTTTCATGTTTCAGGTAAACGACTTACTCTCAGAAGGTCACAGCAGACATGAGGACTGAGAAGCTTACGAGTATGTTTGGTCTGTAAAGCAGAAAAGATCTTTTTTATACTTTTTAGTATCTCTTAGCTTTTTTGAGTTGAAAAGCTAAAAAAACTAGCTGTTTCATTAAAAGTGCATGTTTTAAATAGTTATGTTTGGCAAAACTAGCTGTTCTAAGTAGGTGAAATTATTAAATTACAATTAAGGGTATGCTTAAATATTACTCCGTTTTAATTTTTTTTGGCAAACTCCCTTTTAGTTAAGTAACACAATAAAAAGTAACAGCAAAAACGTGATAACTCATAAAAGCATAACACGTGTACATAAAGAAATTAGGAAAAAAACTGAAGCATATAAAATATACTAAAACGTAGACATAAAAAAAGAAAATATTTGGTGAATTGATGGCTACAAATGATTAAACAAAACTAAATAATTACAAAAATGTGGCTGCAAACAGAGATGGATTAAAGGGTTTATTAAGAAAGAAAACCAGAGTGGGGAAGAAGAAGGAACGTACCTGCCGAATGCTTATTGGTGAGTTTGAGATATTCAAGGTGAAAATAGAGAAGATGAAGTAGCGAGGGGCGCAGGGTTAAAAGAGCAATGTCCACAAAACATGAAAAGCTCTTCTGGTTGAACGCTGCCGTGTGCAACGTCTGGTAAAAGACACGAGCTTCCCAAAAAAGTTAACGAGTCAAACACACAACTAGAATCTTTTTAGATCTTTTTAAATAATAAAGAAGCTAGAAGCTATTAACTTTATAGCCTACATTGCCATAAAGACTTTCAATATGAAGGGAGGGTTGACTCTAGAGACATAAATAAATACGAAGTATTTATATACATATATGGATGAGATACAGTATAGTAGGTGTAATGTGTAAGTATCGTATTTCATGATTGCAATAAAATTTGTTCCATATGACTCAAAGATATGGTCTTAGCTACTACTACGTATCTTTTTTAAAGTTATGATTTCCATGAACACAGATAAAATTATATATGCAGCAAACCAGGATTTAGTAAACTTGAGGGATTGAAGCATTCCCTAATTAGAACTAATTAAATATTACAGACCCAGAATGAATAATACGGAGTAATACATTTTTGGCAACCTTAAGGTCCCTGCACCTATTCTTATACTCCCTCCGTCCCGTTGGAATGTTCCCGGTTTGACCTACACACATATTAAGGAAATAAACTTACCAGGGGGTAAATTTTACTGTTTGGACACTGTTTGGACACTGTTTGACACTGTTTTGCACTGTTTGACACTGTTTTGATGTAGGATAACTTTCCATTTAGGGAAATGAGAACTTTCCATTGGAACATCCAAAAAAGGAAAGTGGGAACATTCCAACGGGACGGAGGGAGTACATTAGCTAAATCAAAAACAACTAAAAACAAATTTATGCATACCCATCAAAGCCACCGACAATACCTGCAACATTAAATGAGAATAAAGTGATAAGTAGCAGATAGATATTCCATCAAACACACTTTTCTTTAATACTCGCTCCGTAACATTTATATCTTCTCACTTTCCTTTTCTCGATGTAACATTTATATCTTCCCATTTCTAAATCTTCTCATTATATCCTCAATAATTTAAAAAACAATACACTATTACACCTATTTTTTTTGGATTTATCCTTCATTCCATCACATTATTTCACTATCTTCCCATCATACCCTCAATAATTCATATCATCTTTCACTATTCTTAATTTCACCCACTTTTGAAGTGGGAAGATATATGTGATACGGAGGGAGTATATACAAACGTATTTGTTTTAATCAATACTCCTTTCGTCCCGGAAAATTGTTCCCGCATTGACTTGGAACAGAATTTAACAAAGTGGGAATAAAGTGGAAATGTATGGTTGTGGTTGAGTAAGAAAAAGATAAATGAATTGTAGCCACAAAAAACTTTCCAAAAGGGGAAAGTGGAACAATTTTTTGGAACAGCCTAAAAAGGAAACAGGGAACAATTTTTAGGGACGGAGTAACAGATACATAAATGTATGCATAAATAAAGTTTGAAATGCAAGTGCTTCCTTTGAAATATGAATATACACTTCAAATTCCAGAATTTGCAATTGTGAGGGAATACAAATCGTGAGTCTGTAGATAAAAACAAACTCCGTTGATTGGAAATTGTGTCATTTTTGTGATTTGAAATATTAACACTTTGAACAATGATTATAATTGAAAAAAGAGAAAATGTTAGACTTCAGTACTAAACAAGTAAACTCATAATGTGCGCAATTCATAAGAGGAAAATCAAAATTATGTTTAAAAAACGAAGGTTGCACTTCAAATTTTTATGCATATTTATTTCGACCTTTAGATGGAAGACCACATATTTGAATTACCAAACCTAGCAGAAGGCCTTCTTTTAAGTTTCTAAATATTTTCATCTTATCCAGACTTCGAGTATATTTCTAAAAAAAAGAGTCAATTCCCTAAATAGGACTAAAAAGTGGCAAAATTGCACAAATAGGACTACATTTTTTAAATTCCCTTAATAGGACTATTTATGTGTGTTTGGACAAATATACCCTTGTAACTTGTAAAATGTTTTAATTAATAATAAAATCATAAAAAAATTTATAAAAATCGAAAAAAATACTAAAAATCGTAAAAAAAAACAAAAGAAAATTAATAAAAAATATTTTTAAAAAAATAAAAAAAAATAATTTTAAAAAAAAAAAAAAAAAATCATAAAAATAAAAAAAAAAACATTACCACCCCTGCCACCCCCCAGCACCACCAACTCCCATCACCGGAGAAAAATATGCCAACATTTTAAATAATGCCATAATGATGGCATATTCAATGAAAATGTTGGCATATTGAAGAGTAATTATGCCATCTTTTTGGCATTTTCAGAAAAATATGGCATTTTTTTTACCAAAAGTGGAAGAAATTTCACCAATCGGATGTGGTGGTGCTGGGAGGCGGCGGGAGGCGGTGGGAAAGGTATCCATATTTTTTTTCATTTTTTATGGGTTTTTACTATTTTTTATTATTTTTTTAAAAAAATTAAAAAAATAAAAAATTAATTTTTTTATTTTATAAATGTTTTATAAATTTTTTATAATTTTTTTACGTTTTTAAAATTTTTTTTTACGTTTTTTATGATTTTATTATGAATTAAAGCATTTCATTATGAATTAATACTCTTAGGGGTATTTAGGGTAGAAAATCAATGTTTAGTCCTATTTAGGGAATTTTAAAAGTAGTAGTCCTATTTGTGCTTTTTAGGAACTCATTAGTCCTATTTAGGACAATTTCCGTAAAAAAAATGAAGAAGGGTTCAAAAAATGTCAATAAACAATCATAAATATTTCAGATTTTATAACTCAAAAGGCATTTGTTTTGAATCTTTTGATAGAAGCAATGTTACGGAAGCATTAATTGAATAGCAATTCAGCACCATTGGGATGAATTGAATAGCAATTCAGCACCATAGCAAAAACAAAAACAAAAAAATGTTTTCTTTTGGACTAAAATTTGCTGGTCTGGCTTGGTATGGTAAACGTCTAGTCTCTGTGTATTTTATAACTACGGAAGTCTGGTCTGGTCTAATCGAGTCTGATCCAGTCTGGTTTGATCTGATCTGATCTGGTCTGGTTTGGTCTGGAACCGAAAACAGTTCAAAAGGAAACGTCCTTACTCATCGACGGTTAGTAGGTCTGCTGAAAGTACAAACGGTTGCATCCACGAGTACATATAGAGGCTCTAATGCACTTACACACCACTCAGAAAACTCAACCATAAAATCTTACCATCGAATTTATGTGAAGGTTTGAAGCATAACGTGTGGCCTTTATCCCTTTTTGAATGAGTGTCTCCCAGATTTCAGATTAAAAAAATTAGGTCAGTGTGTTAAAGCTGAAGAATGGTCAAAGACTCAAAGTACCTCTGTACTGCATTTCATGTGTATATCATTTTACCTTATAATTGCAATGTAATAAATCGTATTAAATGTTTATACTATGTATTGATTTTTTCGCTAGTACGAGGTACTCCTTTGTTTTTAGGAGTACAAATTATACTTGATTCCCTTTTAGGTTTTCTTACATCCAAAATTGAGCATTATCTTCTCATTTTATTCATCTCATACTCCCTCCGTCCCGGAAAATTGTTACCGCATTGACTTGGAACGGAGTTTAAGAAAATGGGAATAAAGTGAAAATGTATGGTTGTGGTTGAGTAAGAAAAAGGTAAATGAATTGTAGCCACAAAACACTTTCCAAAAGGGGAAAGGGGAACAATTTTTTGGGACGGCCCAAAAAGGAAACAGGGAACAATTTTCAGGGACGAAGGGAGTATTTATTACAACAACAACAATACCCTAGTGCCACAAAGGCTTATAGACTGTTTTCGATGGGGTAAAGGACGCAGCCTTATAGACTGTTTTCAAATAACTTTTTTTTTGGAAGAATCTAGCTTATACTGAATAATCAAAATTCAGGCAAGTTACAAAAAGACAAAAAGTCCCCTTTCAATCATCTGCCCTCGAACCAGACTTGAGTCAATCAATCACCTTCAAGAAAGAAATATGACTCGTTGATCCTATAATGGGCAGGGCCGGTCTTGATATAGGGGCAGGATGGGCGGCTGCCCAGGGACCACCAGGAAGAAGGGCCTATAAATTATTTAGGAGTAATATATATATTGAGTCTCGTTCACCTCGGGCCCACAAATCTATTTGATACGCTTTCGGATGAAATTGTTTGATGAAAGTTTGTGAGTATGTTTTTCATTAAGTGTAGATTAGGTAAAAAAATGTCAACTCAAAATTCAATCGGAAAATCTGTTAAATAAATTATTGAAAAACAGTGTGCTTTATGTATGTTTAAATATCGCAATGTTTTTTAATAATTTATTTAACTAACTTCTTAATTGAATTAGAAATTGAAATTTTGTGTAAATAATCTAATTTTTATGAAGAACATGCCCACAAAATTTTATTAAAAAAATTTGACCAGATCATTTTGTCAAGTGCGACTGACCAAATCATTTCCTTGTACTCTAAATCTCTAATACTCCGTAAAAGATACCCCTCAATCCTCATATTCGTAGACTGAGCCACAACGACAGAGCTACACACGAAACACAACTAGATGACTTTCTACCTACTTCACAAAAGCCGAGAATTTAAAATTAAAATTTTCTTTTAACAATGCCTAAAGAATTGTTTTGTATGGCTTATGATACCAAGTATTTTTAGGAACAAAAACATTTACTTGTGTAATGAATTTTATTTTTGACTTGAAGCTTTTGTATTTTTTTTTAAATAGACTTCTGAATGTTGAGATATGAAAATGAAATGCTCAGCACAATAATCTCATCATTAATTTAGGGGATTAACAACACAAAATTCAACATAAATAACATAGCAGTAGTCTGACAAGTAACCAACACTTGCTTTGCTCGCTAGCTAAAATGCAAAAAGATTAGGGTGCTGTTCTGTTCGTCTTATTCTTATTACTTATTGCTTATTCTTATTTTATTCAGATCAGATCAGATCAGATCAGAAAAATTCAGATCAGATCAGATCAGATCAGAAAAATTCAGATCAGATCAGATCAGATCAGAAAGATTCAGATCAGATCAGATCAGATCAGAAAGATTCAGATCAGATCAGATCAGATCAGAAAGATTCAGATCAGATCAGATCAGATCAGAAAAATTCAGATCAGATCAGATCAGAACTTAAAAAATTCAGATCAGAAACATTCAGATCAGGCGAAGAGAACAGCTTCTAGGTATTTGTAGCCCTTGTGTATATCTGCTGGCTGGCGTGAGCAGACACCATCCTGATCAAACCTCTTTCCATCAACTCTTGGATTGCCCTCCTTGCAAGTGATCCACTGATCCTTAAACGATCGGAGAGGACTGAAGGTGTGATGAGCTTGTATTTGGGAGCTTCCGATAAGAGCTTCTCATATGTAGCCTTGTCAAAAAGCACCATGTTGTTCACCTTCTCCTTTTGCTTTCCCTTGCTCCACTTCTTCTTTTTCTGCTTGCCACCACCGGTCTTGGCGGGCTTGGAGGCGGTTTGAGGAGCCTTTTCCTTCTTCGGTGCCATTGTCTGTGGAATCTAGGGTTTGGGCAGAGGTTGAGCTCTAGTGACTTGCTGCGAGATTGATAGACGATCAATCTCGGCGGACTTGAAGCTTTTGTAATATATTTCTATAATATACAGAATATATAATTAGGGGCCTATTTTTTGTCTTTTGCCCAGGGCCTATAAATTGTCAGGACCGGCCCTGATAATGGGCTTAACTAAGTCAATGATGGACGAAACAAACCTTTCATCACTCAACCTAAATTCTAGAGTTATGCTAGTATGAAACAAAAACACAACAAAAACATCTTATCCGAAATCAAAGATGAAAAGAAAAGAAATAATTTAAATAAAGTTGCCTCCTCATAATCATGAGAAACCTGACCATGTACCCTTGGGGTAAAACCTCTCCAGGGACCAAGGCGAGCCTAGTAGCCAGCGTCCGTCTCCTCCCCGTTTTTTGAATTTTTGGCTCATCTAGAGTCATGTCTTCAGCCATTTGGTCCTCTTTCTCCCACTCCATAGCTCCGCTCCTGCAAGAAAATTCGTTCGAGACAACTGCCGATAACTTATGAAAAGCATAAACCCCTGTTTTGCCTTCCTATTGACAAATCGATGCAACAACCCTGCGACAGCCCACCAATCAGTGACACATCCTTAACACTCCTAAAGAACAAAACAAACCACGAAAAAGCACGGTCAAATCTCCAAAGGGAAAGCCGCATGAACGGACTCGGCGGGGAAAGGATCCTACATGTTGTAGCGAGACGTCCACAATATCGTTCAGTGTAACTTATAAAGTCAAATATATAACCTTTACAACATTTAAATTACTTTCCAATTTTTAGCCGAATACACACTTCTCACCTGATCCGCTCCTCAAGATTTCTTTGGTATAACTCAAACTTTAAAAAAGACAAATATGGAGGAAATGGAACAATCTGACCTACCCGGTTATGGAGAACGAATTGGGTTTTAGAGATCTTTTCATGATTCAAAAGCCTTTTAATTATAAGTGTTTATGGAAAGCTGCCAATAATGGTTTGTGGGGTCTTTGGTTCTCCAAACTCAAAAATCCTAATAAGAAGCTGTTCTCTTCGCCTGATCTGAATGTTTCTGATCTGAATTTTTTAAGTTCTGATCTGAATTTTTCTGATCTGATCTGATCTGATCTGAATCTGTCTGATCTGATCTGATCTGATCTGAATCTTTCTGATCTGATCTGATCTGAATCTTTCTGATCTGATCTGAATGTTTCTGATCTGGTCTGATCTGATCTGAATGTTTCTGATCTGATCTGAATCCTTCTGATCTGATCTGAATCTTTCTGATCTGATCTGATTCGAATATTTCTATGATTATAATTATAATTATAATTATAGTTATAATTATAATTATAGTTATAATTATAATTATAAATTATAATTATAATTATAATTATAATATTGTAATTATAATTATAGTTACAATTATAGAGATAAATATTGTAATTATAATTAAAATTATAATTTTATTTAAATTATATTTGTAATTGCAATTATAATTATAATTATAATTATAATTATAATTATAATTATAATTATAATTATAATTATAATTGCAATTACAAATATAATTTAAATAAAATTATAAATATAATTTTAATTATAATTACAATATTTATCTCTATAATTGTAACTATAGTTATCAATATTATTATAATTACTCCGTAAAATAATTACAATAGTAATAATAATAATATTAATATTAATAATTATAATAAAAATAATAATTATAATCATAAATTATTATAATAATATAATTAGAAGTATAGTTATAATTATTATAATTATAATTAATAATAATTATAATTATATTAACATTAATTATAATATTATAATTTAATAATAGTAATATAAATACAATTAATATTATTATAATGATATTATTATATTAATATTATTATTACAATAATATAATAATATTATTATTACAATAATATAATAATAATATGATTATCATTATAATTAGTATTATATTATTATAATATTATATTGTAATTATAATTATAATCATAATTATAATTATGATTGTAATTATAATTATAATTATTATAATTATAATTAATTACAATTATATTTATAATTAATTATAGATATAATTATAATAATTACAATTGATTATACTTATAATTATAAGAATTATACTTATAATTATAAGAATTATAATTATAATTATAATTACATATAATTATAATATAATATTATAATAATATTAATCATATTATTATTATTATATTGTAATAATAATAATAATAGTCTTCTTAACAATTGCATTTATATTACTATTATTATATTAAAATATTATAACTATTATTAATTTCTTTTTTATCATATTATTATTAATATTATTAATAATAATTATATAATAATAATCATAATAGTAATAACAATATTAATAATAATAATTAATATTTAATATAATAATAAAAATGATAAATCATGTTTGAACTTTTCTGATCTGATCTGATCTGAATGTTTCTGATCTGATCTGAATGTTTCTGATCTGGTCTGATCTGATCTGAATCTTTCTGATCTGATCTGAATCTTTCTGATCTGATCTGATCTGATCTGAATGTTTCTGATCTGATCTGAATGTTTCTGATCTGGTCTGATCTGATCTGAATCTTTCTGATCTGATCTGATCTTATCTGAATTTTTCTGATTTGATCTGATCTGATCTGAATTTTTCTGATCTGATCTGATCTGATCTGAATTTTTCTGATCTGATCTGATCTGATCTGAATAAAATAAGAATAAGCAATAAGTAATAAGAATAAGACGAACAGAACAGCACCTAACTCTTATCTATGGAAAGGGTTGAGATTGGTTAATCACAATTTTGACAGGCTTAGCTCCTTGGTGGTTTGTAATGGCGGCACTTCTTCCTTTTGGAGGAATTGAGATATTACCCAAAATGGGACTAAAAAAGTTTGGAAATTCCAAAATAGGACTTCCATGTTTTTATTCTCAAAATAGGACTAATTACTGTCATGTTTTGACAGTACCAGACTTCAAACATGGCAGTATTTTCCAAATTTGGCAGTAATTAGTCTTATTTTCGGAATAAAAACATGACAGTCCTATTTTTGGAATTTTCAAACTCTTTTAGTCCCATTTCGGGAACTTTCCCTTTGCAATTTCGATTGAACTAACTTTGGAAGGTTTTTTTATTCTGTGAACAGTGTGAACTTACTAAAGCCCCGTATTACTATCAGGGTAGCATTTAATTTTGCCTCATTATGAGCCCGTTTGGAGAACTCTGTTTTCGACTTATCAGGCTTATCAGCCAGCTTTTTCACCAAACACGTAACTTTTACTTTCGCGCGCTGAATTGTGTAATAAGCCGAAAAAGTAAGGTTGGAGTTACTTTTCTGGCTGTATTGGCTGAAGTTACTGTAGAGGACCATTTTAGCTATTTTTACATATAATTTTTTCTTTAATTTATTAATAAAATATATTTTTAAAATATTTTTTTCTTAAATCAGCAGAATCAGCCAAAACAGCCACTCCAGCCAGAATATCATAAATTTCAGCAGAATCAGCCAAAACAGCCGATTTTGGTGCTACCAAACGGGCTCTATATGTGGAATCAGATTATTACCCCTCCCCACCTTAGTGCGCACAGTGACATCGTTTCAACCCTTGCTCCCTTCGACTCCAACTCATTTAAGAGTCCTAAAAGAATTGTTGATTCCTACAACATTTGGAATATTAATATTCCTACCAAAATCTCTTTTTTTTTACTTCGAAGGTCATTAATAATCTCCAGCCTTCCTAAAAACTTATAATTGTGAATGATAGCTTGTACCCCTCAATTGTGTCAATATTTATGTGCAAGTATTGTTATACATTACATTCAAACGGTTGTACCTTATTTTTCAGACGGACAAAAATGACATTACGGTATTAATGTTTTAATGTTAGCAAGATGAATGGTTAAACCCATAAATGGGCTTGTATATTATTTATTGTAGTCTAGCCTTATTTATTCTTTCTTGGGCTGAGGGTTTCTCTTCTCGGTCACATATGTATATATATACCTTGTACATTGATAAAGCAAGATGAGATATATTTTTAGCCAAAATACCGAACCTAATCGCAATATCGCATCATGGTATCAGAGCAGCACTAAGGCTCTGCGGCACCTGCTTCGGCCTTCATCAAGAACGACACCAGCGTGTCCAAATCTTGATTGTCATGGCCGCCGATCCTACCTCTCCGTACTATCTTGGGGCTGGTGATCAGCCCGGGAATCTAATTACTCATGTGATTTTTAAAGGGGATAATTACGTGGGATGGTCGCGTGCTATCACCTTGTCCTTGAAGGCACGACGGAAATATTGTTTCGTTGATGGAACTCTGACCAAGCCAACGGAAGCGGCAAAAATTGTGGACTGGGAAACCAACAATTCGATGGTGGTTTCTTGGCTATTGCGAAGCATGGAAACCAATGTGGTGATTTCTATCCCGTTCCATGAAGAGGCACGGGCCTTGTGGCTTTATTTGGAGAAAAGGTTTAGTGTTGCTAATGGACCGCGTCTTCAGCAGTTGCGGGCATCTATCACGGAGTGCCGGCAGAAGAAAACAATGTCGGTAGATGAATACTTCACGGTGTTGATGGGTCTCTTTGACGAGTTAAGTCGGCTCAAACCCTTACACACGTGTACATGTGGTTTGTGTACGTGTGGTGTAGCGGGGAAATTTGTTGCGGATAGGGAGGAGGAAAAACTTCACCAATTTTTAATCGGAATTGATGACGAAATTTACGGAACAGTCCGCTCTAATCTGCTTTCGCACGACCCTCTCCCGGACCTTAACCGTGCTCATCAGGTTTTTCTCCAAGAGGAGAATTCCCGAGCAATTGCCCGCGGCAAACAGCCAGCTCCCATTGTTGACGTCCAAGCTTTCGCTGTCACGAAGAACCGCCTGGATCGGGCAGAACGCATGAAGCTTTTGTGCAGCCATTGTAAACAAAGAGGGCATGATGTTGCTAATTGTTTTAAGCTTCATGATTACCCGGACTGGTGGGAAGAGAGGAAAAGCAATAAAGCACCAGGTGGAAATCGCGA